ACAACTACATGGCAATTGCCACACGGATCTAGTGTTCACTAGAAGCATGGAAGGAATGGATGGGGTGGATTTGGGTGGCAATCGGAATAGAGAGAACTAGTTGCCATTCAATTTTTACGTTGGTTGCCGCCTGTCTTTGCAGTTAGTGGTCACCATGGTGTTTATCAGTTGCCATCTTACTGTGTTGCTCATCGCCATCAGTTCAAAAACGACACTTCGCATCCAGATTTTAGAAAATGGGATAACAAACGTGCATATCATATTTGCCATTCATGTAATTGGTTGTCTACGCAATAATTGTGATGGGATTGCCGTGTTTTGCTTGTATGTACAAAAAAATCAGCAGAAAATGCAGTTTCATGTGTCTCTTGTTTGTGCAGTGAATGAAAAACACAATGGGAAAAGAGGCGGAAGAATGAATCAGAAAGATGGCGCAGATCATTGGTTTTCTCAAAACCCGACAATGCAACCTTGGGATGCATCAGAGTACAATCAACTCATTTCTGCGGGACCGTTGCTGCCACTTTTAGAGCAGTATGTGAGCATGGGTATGGTAAATGATCAAAAAAAGGGACAATTGCCATGTTATGGGGGGAGGGGGGCGTGGGGGAATGGTATTGTACTTATGTCCTACCATGTTACTTTTTCGTAGGGTCAAACTCAGGGGTGACTTGGCAAGTTCAAACACGGGGCTGATGGATGTACGTTCGACCAATTTCAAGTAGCCAATGTGGCAAATCAAGATAACACGTATCAATAAAACCATTCAACTTTTGCCAAAAAGATGAAAAAAAAGACTTGAAGAGATGGAAAATACTTACAAGTTTTATGGTGGAAAACGCAGGACCGTCATGTAGCACGTGGCAACCGTCAGGAATCGGGTACCTGCCATCGATGTCAAACACAGGTGAGTAGTATGAAGTGATTCTGTTGACAATGCAACATCAGAGGAATTATATGTGACATTGCTGCTTGTGTGTTGTATTCGCAAAAAGTGTAGTTTGTCGTGTATGATATGAATGCATTTGCCATGTGTAGTGAAATGCATTTGCCATGTGTGATCAACTGTGGTTGCCATGTGTGATCAACTGTGGTTGCCATGTCTGATGTACTGTGGTTGCCATGTCTGATGAACTACAATAGCCATGGATAATCAACTGCAGTTGCCATGTATTATCAACTGCATTTGCCATGGACAATCAACTATGGTTGCCATGTACTATCAACTATGGTTGCCATGCATAATAAAAATTGTCGTTGACATGTATAGAAAAAATTTTGGGTGCCAAATGTGAACAAACCGGATTATTTTGCACACTATGATTGATGTCATGCCAGAAATCGGATGCAGATGGTTTTTTTGGTTATGAAACAAAACTGCCATTCAAACAAAGATTAAATGCATGCCTTTTTTTCTTTTTTTCTGCAGGACCTCCAACTACACTAAACGGCAGGGCGGGGGCATCTCATGCGGGTACCTTTGAGCACACGGAAGGGACATCACAACAGCAGGTCGTCGATGATGCCACAAACAATGAAGAATTAGTGTCGGGGCTGGCAATCGTTGAAGCGACTACGACAAGCACACCTGTGAGGGGTGACCTCATCACCAGCTTTTGACCGACCGGTCGCACGATTCCGTGGCGGTACCTCCATGAAGTCATCGTCATCGTCCTGATGGTCGCCGCGAGCCATTGTGCTACAGTAGCAACAAAAAACACACATCAAATGGAGCAACACGTATTAAAAAGACAGAAATGTAGCCAAAGTGGGAGAGTAGAAAAATGCAGATACATGGCAACAACACATGTCTCTGCTTCTTAAATGATTCAGTTGTCGTCTGCAAGTGTCAAACTGCAATGCAGCTAGATTCATGTTGCCATCAATGGTGGCAGTTAACTAAAGGGTACTTCAAAAATAGGGGCAGACATATGCTAGATTCATGTTGCCATGTTAACATAACAACTAGTTGTGGCAGATAAAAGGCACTCCATCTGACATGGCAACTGACTCAATTGATTCAAAAATCAGTTGCCATCAGTGGTGGCCGTTGTTAAAATTGCCATGACAATCATCCTCAAACACTTTGAAAATGCACCTAAAAACGGTATCCAACAAAAACCAAATAGTAACATTACTGTACCACTGACATGGCAACTGACACATTTGTTTCAGAAATTAATTGCCATCAGATGTGGTAGTTGATGAAATTCACATGACTTTCATTCTCAAACACTCTGAAAATGTGCCTAAGATGCACCACTGACATGGCAACTGACTCAATTGATTCAAAAATCAGTTGCCATCAGTGGTGGCGGTTGTTAAAATTGCCATGACAATCATCCTCAAACACTTT